TCCTCCTCCTCCTCCTCCTCCTCCTCCTCCTCCCCTCTTACCACTCCCTTCTAGCACTGCTGATGCTACCTAGTTGGGTCACGAAACGTCTGCCCAAAAAGCAGCCAGGCCCCAGAGACCCACAGTCCCCTCCTCCCTGGCTGAACTCTGGGGGTCTGGCAGCCCCCCAATCTCAGAGCTTGAGGCCTCCAGGTTGGGGGGGGGTGAGGCCATCCCTTGACCACCGTCCTGCCCCAGTCGCTTACAAGTCACCTCGGGAAAGCATCCGGGGGGACTTTTCACCCAATTTTAGGACTTCCTTAACCCCCCCACCCCCCCCATTCTGGCTCCCCAGGCAGAATTTCAACGGGGTGTCTCCCCTCCACAAGGCAGCCAGCGAGGGGCGCGAGAACTGTCTCCAGGCTTTGATTGACGCTGGGGCCGACGTCCACAGCCGGGACAACGAGGGACAGAAACCCATCGACCTGTGCAAAATGTGGGGCCACAGAAGCTGCGCCAAGTGAGTAAGGGGGCTGCGAAGCCTCGTGGAAGGGCACCACGGAGTGTCCAGCTCAGAGGGGGGCCCTGGAGATCATCTACTCCAGCCTCGGCCCAGGGCCGAGAATCCATAACTTGACCGTTTGGTCTAGTAGTTGTCACCAGAGTAGAAAGCAAGAGATCAGGGGTCTTCCAACTTGGCCCTTTGATGACTTGTGGACTTCAACTCCCAGAATTCCTCAGCCAGGCACGCGTGCCTGGCTGAGGAATTCTGGGAGTTGAAGTCCACAAGTCATCAAAGGGCCAAGTTGGAAGACCCCTGATGTAGACTTTAAGAGGAGTGGACCTCAACTCCCAGAATTCCTCAGCCAGCGTGAGGAATTCTGGGAGTTGAAGTCCACAAGTCATCAAAGGGCCAAGTTGGAAGACCCCTGCAAGAGACCGTGAGTTCAAATCCCACCTTAGCTAGGAAAGCCAGATGGATGGTAACTGTGGGCCAATCCCCAGGAGACGGTGAGTTCTGGTCCCGCCTTAGGCACGAAAGTTTCTAAACGAGACAGTTAAATACGTTTTGCCTCATTTTACGACTGTTCTCGCCGCGGTCGTTAAGTGGAATCACTGCCGTTGTTAAGTTAGTGACACGGTTGTTAAGTGAACCCGGCTTCCCCACTGAAGGTCGCAAAGGGGATCACTTGACCCGGGACACTGCGACCGTCATAAGTGTGAGTCAGTTGCCGAGCGTCTGAATTTTGATCACCAGACCCCGGGGATGCTGCAACAGTCGTGTGAAAAACGGTCCGAAAGTCCCTTTCTTTCAGGGCTGTTTTAAGTTTGAACGGCCGCTGACTGAACTGTTGTAAGTTGAGGACTATCGGGAACAGAAGAGCCGAGTTGGAAGGGACCACGGAGGTCATCTAGTCCAACCCCCTGCTCAAGCAGGAGACCTATTGAGACAAGTGACTGTCCAGTCTCTTCTTAAAAAACTTCCAGTGTTGGAGAAGGGAGGGAGGGAGGGAGGGAGGAAGGAAGGAAGGACAACAGAACAACAGATGGAAGGGACCATGGAGGTCTTCTAGTCCAACCCCCTGCTCCAGCAGGAGACCTAGACCATTCCAGACAAGTGGCTTTCCAGTCTCTTCTTAAAAACTTCCAGTGTTGGAGAAGGGAGGGAGGAAAAAAAGGAAGGAAGGAAGGAAGGAAGGAAGGAAGGAAGGAAGGAAGGAAGGAAGGAAGGAAGGAAGGAAGGAAGGAAGGAAGGAAGGAAGGATAACAGAACAACAGATGGAAGGGACCACGGAGGTCTTCTAGTCCAACCCCCTGCTCCAGCAGGAGACCTAGACCATTCCAGACAAGGGACTTTTCTTTACAATGTAGGACAATCCCATCTCCAAAACGTAAACTCCCCCCTCCCCAATGTTTACAGGCAGGCCATAGGGCAAGGGGAGGGGTCCCTGCAAGGGAGTTGATGAGGATGAGGATGCTTAACCGCTCTGCTCTGTGTCCCCCCCCCCCCCGCAGGCGTCTCTCCCACGCCATGTGGAAGGCGGACAAGAAGCACCAGCTGAGGCAGATGTGCAAACTGGACTCCATCAAAGCCGAGTGTGAGATGAAGCAACGGCAGTTCCTTCAAAGGGAGCAGGTAGCGGCTGTGTATCTCCCATTCCTAAACAGGAATTAGGAACGTCTAGTTCAGGGGTAGGCCACCTCGGCTGTTTTTATGACTGGTGGACTTCAACTCCCAGAATTCCTGAGCCAGCATGGGGGAACGATGGCCCCTTCATAACTCGTGGACTTCAACTCCCAGAATTCCTGAGCCAGCCATGCTGAGGGGAAAGGGAGAGGTTTCCATGCTGAGCCATGCTGGCTCAGGAATTCTGGGAGTTGAAGTCCACGAGTCATATAGGAGGCCATATTTCCCCCATGCTGGCTCAGGGATTCTGGGAGTTGAAGTCCATGAGTCATAAAAGAGCCAAGGTTGCCTACCCCTGGTCTAGTTTAATGAAAAGGACCTGTGTGTGTGTGTGTACACATGACAGCAGCCTTCCAGTATTTGAGGGGCTGCCCCAAAGAAGAGGAGGGGGTCAATTTATTCTCAAAAAGAGCCGGAAGGCAGGACAAGAAGTGAGGGATGGAAACAGATCAAGGAGAGAAGCAACCGGGAACTAAGGAGAAATTTGCTGACAGTGAGGACAAATCACTGGTGGAACAGCTTGCCACCAGAAATTGTGGGTGCTTCAGCACAGGTTTTTAAGATGTGACTGGCCCAAAGTCACCCAGCTGGTTTTCACGCCTAAGGCAGGACTAGAACTCACCGTCTCCTGGTGATTGGCCCAAAGCCACCCAGCCAGCTTTCGTGCCTAAGGCAGGACTAGAACTCACCACCTCCTGGCGATTGGCCCAAAATCACCCAGCTGGTTTTCATAGCTAAGATGAAACTAGAACTCACAGTCTCCCCTACGATAGGCGTATTCGTTTATTTCAGTTCCTATAACCAGCCATCTCGGGTTCACGACTCCGGGTGGCCAGAGCAGGTCTTTCTGGCCCTAGGCCAAGAGGGTGGGGGGGGGTCCTCTCGTATTGGGGAGGGGGATGCTCTTCCCAAGGCCTGGGGGGGGCAGGGCTCAGTGCCTTTACTTTTCTGTTAACAGAGGGAGCTGAACATCTGCAACATGATGGCCTTCGAGAGCTGGCTGGTGAAGAAGGGCCTGCCGTTGCCCACCGGCACCCTCTTAGGCCTGGCGCACGTCCAGCGCCACTCGCTGACCCTCCGCAAGGTGGCCGGCCAGATAGCCAGCCCGGTCCCCTCCCTGGGCACCCTGCTGTGGGGCGAGCGCTCCGACTCCATCCTCAGCATGCAGCGGCGCTACCGGCGTCAGAAGCCCTGGAACCTCAGCACCAACCTGGACTCCGAGCCGGCGACTTCCATCTCCCGGCCGCAGCTCATCCGGCTGGGCGTGGAGGCCGAGAAGCAGCCGCCCCACGACTTCACCTCCTTCCTCTTCCTCTTCAAGGACCCTTTCGGCGAGCCGGTGATCCAGATTGACAACATCGGCCGGGTGAGCAGCGTGCCCGACCTGCCCTACGAGGTCCTTTACCGGAGCCTCTACCCGCGCAGCTGGACCCCCCGCATGGAGGTGCCCGGGGGACTCCGGCCGGTGCAGATCTTTAACCTGAAGCACCGGCGTCCCCCGGGGCCCGAGCACTGGTGGACTGACCAAATGGCCCTCAGCCTGCGGGTCACCCTGGACCCCGTCTTTCTGAGCACCCTCCGGACCCACGTCAACGCCTACGGCAGCGCTGAACTTCTGAGTCCCAGGACGGCGAGCTCCAAGTCCTCCAAGGAGACCCCCTCCGTCCAGGGCGAATCGGCCGACCCTTAGGAGTCCTCGCAGGGGGCCCTCCTGCCCTGCCCCAGAGGGCAAAGGGGCAGGGATACCCCCTCCCCAAATAATCCCCCCTCCTAAAGCATCCGATAGGGATGAATCTGCAATGCTCAAGAGACATTTAATAGTAATAAAAGGGCACTAGGGCAGTTCTGCGTCCATCAGTCCTCAATTTACAAAGCAGGGGCTGCAAAATACAGGTAGTCCTCAACTTACGGCTAAAATTGCTGTTGCTAAGTGAGACCGTTCTTAAGTGGGTTTTGCCCCGTTTTACCACCTTTTGGGCCACGGTTGGTTAAGCGAACGGCTGCGGTTGTTTAAGTCTGGGACAAGGTTGCTGAGTGACTCTGCCTTCCCCTCGTCAAAAGGTCGCAAAAAGGGGATCATGTGACACACAACCCCCCTCCCGGGCACACTGTGACTGTCGTACGTACGAGTCAGTTGCTAAGCATCTGAATTTTTATCACGTGACCCTGGGGGGGTGTGTGCTGCAACGGTCCTAAGTGTGACCAACGATCCTAGGTCGGTTTTTTTTTCTCAGTGCCGTCGTCATTTTGAACGGTCACTAAATGAGTGCTTGTTAAGTAGAGGCTCGGCTGTGTCCCAACAAAACCGATGCCGACAAATCACGACAATCGCTGAAGGAAAAGGAGAAATGGAGGGCTGTGTGCTCGTTCTGTGGTCAAGCACGTGACCGAACACCTTTATTGTGAACACGGGCCTGTGTGCTGAAAGAGGCAGCCTTCTACCTCAGCCAAGAACAAAGCGACAGCTGGGAGCCTCTGAGGTCCTCCGGACGGGCCCGGCAGCCTGACCATCGCCAGAGCGGAGTCAGGTGTTGCGCCAGCCGGAGGCGCAGCGTCGACGTCTCTGACTTCCCACATTCCAGGCACCGCCTCACCAATTCTTTGCACGACAATCTCGGTTCCTTCCCCGACCAGTCCGGTTTTCACCGACCCCGGCTTAAGTCCCTGAAGCTTCGGGGCGAGATGCCGGCAGTCTTCGGGGCTGAACCCAGGTCTCCTTTCTGACACGCCCCAAAAAGCGGACCCCGGGACGTTTGTGTGAACCCTCGTTCTCGGTTCCTTTCTTTTTTTTCTTTTTTGAACCAAAGTTGGTCCTTGTCTCTGCAGCCTTCTGGAGAGGAACTCTCCCAGCAAAATGCAGGAAGCCCCTTTAATTCCTGGCTGGACAGCCTGGGTCAGCTCAGCAACTACGTCTTTAAGGAATCCACTCCGCCCGGGGTCTCTCGGCAGATTCCTCTCAAAATCTGGACGAATTCCGGCAGTGGGCAGCTGGTGAAATGTTGCATCCCTTCCTACCACGAAGAGGTGACGTGCCCTGCTTAGAAGCACGCCAAGAGTTCATCGGGGAGGGGGGCTCATTGAGAGGGTGGCCGAGAGGGGGGAGGGATCCCCTTCCTCGGCCCTGTCCCCTCCACCAGCCATCTCCAAGAAAGAGAGGGATCTGGAGGCTCAGCTCCCAGCCTCTGGTCCTGGTTTGTTGACCCCAAAGGGATCGACGTAAGGAAAAGGGGGGACGAGAGGTCGCCCTTTTGGGGCAGGCAGGAAGGTTTCTGTACTAGCCAGAAGAGGGAGAAAAACAAAACAAAACCGGGGTGCCGGAGGGGGGGGACATCAGTACATCTTCTGTCGGCTGGGCAAGATGGCTTCCTTGATGAAGGAGAAGACCAAGAGGATTCCCGAACGCTTCCCTCGCTTCCCTTTGGTGAAGTAGTTGGAGACCACATCGTCTGAGCACAAAAGAGACAAATCAGATTAAAAAAGGGCAGGGTCCCGCACACTCACCTCCCAGGGCTGGCTCTGCCCACTTGTGAAGAAAACACTGCCCCCACCCACACACCTTACCCAGCCCACCCGGTGGGGAAGGCAAGGGCCAGCCGAAGGGAGACACGGAAATGGCAGACTGGGGGGGAGGGCGCTTTTCCCCCCACTTATACACAGGTGGTCCTCGGCTTAGGGGCCCAAAACCGAGCTCGCCCAGTGAGAAATTGGCTAAGGGAGCTTCGCCCCTGTTTTACGACTTTTCACGCCACCATTTGTTAAGCGAGCCCAAGAGTTCTGCTGCTAAGCGAGACGGCTCAGTGAGTTTTGCCTCGTTTTACGACGGTCCTTGCCACCCTCGCTAAGTGGATCGCTGCGGCTGTTAAATTAGCAACACAGTTGTTAAGTGAATCTGGCTCCCCTCAGGGAGTTTTGCTGGGGTCAGGCGACACGGCAACCTGCCATAAACGTCACGCACCCAAATGTAAATCACGTGACACCCCCCCGGGGGGAGGCTACGATGGGCGTGTGAAAAATGGTCCTTTTTTCAGTGCTGTAATAACTTCAAACGGTCACTAAGCAAAGCGGAGGACTGCCTGTATCTGCAGCTCAGGGCTGAACCGGGGGGGGGGGCAGCTTTGCGCTCTGTTTATGCACAAGCCTTGTCTTGTCAAGCGTGGCTGGGACGTTCTTGGTGGTTCCTTGATCGAGCTGATGGCTCGCCCACGCCTTGGGATGAAAACCCCTCAATTTTCACAATTGCACAACCCACGGGCAGACTTTGCCCTAAGTTCCAACTGGGAAACGGTGAGCGTCGTAGATCAAGTCCAAAAACGCTAGAGAATTCCTGGAGGCCGGGCACTTGGACCAATCAGCCATCCACAGGCACCTGGAGGTAAGCGACATTTGCACAGCATTCAAGAGAGACAAGCAAATAGCCAGAAAAGAAGCAAAAAGACGCAAATGCCTCCTTGGAGAGCTGAATGCAACGGAATTTCATTTTAATGTATGCCGGTTAGTGTACATTCAAAGTGACAATAAAGTTATTATTCTATTCTATTCCTATTTCTATTCTATTCATTCTTATTTCTATTCTATTCTATTCTAATTTCTATTCTATTCATTCTAATTTCTATTCTATTCTATTCATTCTTATTTCTATTCTATTCTATTCCTATTTCTATTCTATTCATTCTTATTTCTATTCTATTCTATTCTAATTTCTATTCTATTCATTCTAATTTCTATTCTATTCTATTCATTCTTATTTCTATTCTATTCTAATTTCTATTCTATTCTGCATTCTATTTACTCTATTCTATTCTATTCTATATTCTGTTCTGTTATTCTATTCTATTCTATTCATTCCTATTACTATTCCTTATTCTATTCTATATTTATTCTAGATTCTATTCCATTCTCTTCTGCATTCTATTCCTATTCTATTCATTTATTTCTATTCTATTCTATTCTGTTCTGTTCTATTTTTATTCCATTCTATATTCTATTCTGTTCTATTCTATTCTATTCATTCTTATTTCTATTCTATTCATTCATATTTCTATTCTGTTCTATTCTGCATTCTATTCTATATTCTATTCTATTCTATTCTACTGTATTCTATTCTATTCTATATTCTGTTCTGTTCTGTTATTCCATTCTTATTTCTATTCTATTCTATTCTGCATTCCATTCTATTCTATTCTATTCCTTATTCTATTATATTCTATATTCTATTCCATTCTCTTCTGCATTCTATTCTGTACTCTATTCTAGATTCTATTCCTATTCTATTCATTTATTCCTATTCTATTCTATTCTATTCTATTCTATTCTATTCTATTCTATTCTATTCTTTATTATCCTATCCTATTTCTATTTCATTCCATTCTATTCCTCACCAGCAATCAACACCCAGGTAGGCAGAGATGAGTACTGGAACAACAATCAGCAAGTAAACGCTAACCCCAATCAAGGAACTACTACCTACCAACGGAAACAATCTCCTAAGCAGGGGGTGGGACTAGAAGACCTCCAAGGTCCCTTCCAACTTTATTATTATTCTATTCTATTCAGTCCAACAGTGAACAACAACCTAGTTAAGGAACGACCAGGAACATTCCCACCATATATAAACGGAGAGCAATTCCCTCCCCCTTTCCAGCAACGATGATGTTCTCTTGTTGGGTAATGAAACGTCTCAGGGAGCCCCAAGGACCCACAATCCTCTTCCTCAAAACCCCTCTCTCCCTTCCAGCACTGACGACGTTACCTAGCTGGGTCATGAGACGTCTGCAAAGAAACAGCCCAGCTCAGAGAAGCACCAGGGACCCCACGTCAACGGTTCCTTGAGGCCAGCCATTGTTCCCCCTTTTTTGGGGGAGACACCCAGCGCGAATCGAGCAATACGTAACATTGCTGCAGATTTGGGCTGGGTGTGAATTCTGCGGGGGGGAGGGGGGGTTGTTTTCTCCCTCCCTGGGCACAAGGGGGTCTGGCTAGAGAACTGACCTCCAGGCTGGACGGTGGAAGGCAGGACGTTTTCGCCAGCCGACAGAGACACGAAGAAGGCGAAGGGGATCAGCCAAAGGCAAAAGGTGAAATAGGCCAGGACCTGGAAGAGGACGGGGGGGACAGGAGAGAAAGAGCATCAGACAAGCCGGTCCCCCCAAAACCATCCCAGCAAGCCCAGCCACGGTCCCGGAGCGCCCCCTGCAGGCCCAAAGCCCCTACGACCCACGCATTTAATTTATTAATACTTAATAATAATAATAATAAAGTTGGAAGGGACCTTGGAGGTCATCTAGTCCAACCCCCTGCTCAGGCAGGAAACCCTACACCATTTCGGACAAAGGGCTGTCCAGTCTTCTTCTTAAAAACTTCCAGTGTTGGAGCATTCATGCTGTGAAAGCTCAGATATTTGATATAATAATAATAATAATAATAATAATAATAATAATAATAATAATAATAATAGTAGTAGTAGTAGTAGTAGTAGTAGTAGTAGTAGTAGTAGTAGTAGTAGTAGTAGTAGTAAAATTGGAAGGGACGTTGGAGGTCATCTAGTCCAACCCCCTGCTCAGGCAGGAAACCCTATACCATTTTGGACAAATGGCTGTCCAGTCTCTTCTTAAAAACTTCCGATGTTGGAGCATTCATGCTGTGAAAGCTCAGATATTTGATATAATAATAATAATAGTAATAATAATAGTAATAATAATAGTAATAATAATAGTAATAATTAAAAAGTTGAAAGGGACCTTGGAGGTCATCTAGTCCAACCCCCTGCTCAGGCAGGAAACCCTACACCATTTCGGACAAAGGGCTGTCCAGTCTCTTCTTAAAAACTTCCAGTCTTGGAGCATTCACCGCTTCTGGAGATTTCATTGTGAACTTAATTTCGTTGTGAGTCACACAACGACAATAAAAGATATTCTATTTGTTCTCGCCGGGGAGCACAGCCAAGCTGTGCCACAACCAGGAACCTGACCAGCTCCATTTGGCCTCCTCTGGAGGTGACCTGGATGTGGCGAGCCAAAGGTGGGGGGCACGGAACCCCCAGGTCATCATCCAAGCCTGCCCCTCCCCCCCAGCTGACCCTGTACAGGTGGTCCCTGACTTACAGCCACCGCCGAGCCCCCAAATTTATTTTTTATTATTATCTGAGTAATGATATTATCTAGGATACAAACGTGCGAAAGGGAATAACAGGAGAGACAGGGGAGGGAAAAGGGAAGGAAAAAAAAAGGGGGGGGAGATAGCACTGCAGAGAGGGAGGCACAGCANTGTGGCGAGCCAAAGGTGGGGGGCACGGAACCCCCAGGTCATCATCCAAGCCTGCCCCTCCCCCCCAGCTGACCCTGTACAGGTGGTCCCTGACTTACAGCCACCGCCGAGCCCCCAAATTTATTTTTTATTATTATCTGAGTAATGATATTATCTAGGATACAAACGTGCGAAAGGGAATAACAGGAGAGACAGGGGAAGGGAAAAGGGAAGGAAAAAGGGGGGGAGGAGAAAAAGATAGCACTGCAGAGAGGAAAACACAGCAGGGTCTTGTGGCTTTACAGTAACCCCTCTCCCCTCTCCAGACCCCTCCCCAAACCCCACTTACCTCCGAGAAGGGATAATATTCCTCTGCGAAATATTGAAAGGCCAGGTAGTGGTTCAACACAACCAGCACTGCAAAAGAGGGGGGGGGGGGGAAAGAGGAGGTGCTTACAATTCTGGGGTACTTCGCTCAGCCAGCGTGGAGTCCAAGGTCTCCCTTAGGGCCCAAACACTGTGGGAAGAGAGACACACACACACACCCCGGAGACCGCAGGCTGCGACAGCCAAAGACCGGCAGCTCCCAAAAGTTTAAGCCTCGTAAACCGGGTTTGTTCGTGGGAAAAGGGGCCACCCAACCCCTCCCGGTCTTCGGATTTCAAGGGGGTCTCTGCCCTCTTTGACAAAAAAAAAAAAAAAGTGTGTTCCTAGCTCTGACTGCGAGTAAACATTTGCCACTTCGGTCAGATCCACCTTCTCCGCCTTCCCTATTACTCCCGAGTCTTGGACAAGCCCCGGACACGTTACGAAACGTGGCCGACGTTGTAACCTTACAAAATCTCTGAAGCAGGATTGAGGAAGAGGAAAAAAAGAAAAAGAAAAGAAAACCGAAGCCGAAATGAATCAAAGCGAAGAATCACGCAGAGCCCTGAAACAGCTTCCTGATTAGATAAGCCTGAGATTTATAGAACTAAGGAAGAGGAGTGGTTGAGGGAGGGGGGAGGGAGGGAGGGAAAGAGAGAGGGAGGGAGAGAGAGGGAGGGAGAGAGAGGGAGAGAAGGGGAGGGAGAGAGGGGGATAGAGATAGATAGATAGATAGATAGATAGATAGATAGATAGATAGATAGATAGATAGATAGATAGATAGATAGATAGATAGATAGATAGATAGATAGATAGATAGATAGATAGATAGATAGATAGACAGACAGACAGACAGACAGATAGAAAGAGAGACAGGGAGAAAGAGAGAGAGACAGGGAGAAAGAGATAGATAGATGATAGATAGATAGATAGATAGATAGATAGATAGATAGATAGATAGATAGATAGATAGATAGATAGATAGATAGATAGATAGATAGATAGATAGACAGACAGACCGACAGACAGATAGATAGATGGAAAGAGACAGACAGACACAGACAGGTAGGTGGATGGATGGATGGAAAGACAGACAGACAAGGTAGGGAGGGAGGGAGGGAGGGAGGGAGAGAGGGAGAGAGATGGAAAGAGACACAGACAGGTAGATGGATGGATGGATGGACAGACAAGGTAGGTAGGTAGATAGATGGAAAGAGACAGACAGACACAGACAGGTAGGTGGATGGATGGATAGATAGATGGATGGAAAGACAGACAGACAGAAAGACAAGGTAGGTAGGTAGGTAGGTAGATAGATGGAAAGAGACAGACACAGACAGGTAGGTGGATGGATGGATAGACAGACAGACAAACAGACAGACAGATAGATTAGATGGAAAGATAGATGGATAGACAGAGAGACAGAGAGATGGATGGATGGACAGACAGAGAGATGAGGTTGTGGGTGCTTCGTCCCTGGAGGCTTTGAAGAAGAGATTGGACAGCCCCTTATCTGAGGGATTCCTGCTTGAGCAGGGGGCTGAAGAACTCCAAGGTCTCCTCCAGCTCTTATTCTGATTATTCTGATTATTCTTAGATACAAACAGACAGACAGACGGACAGAGAAAGAGACAATCCTTACTGCAAGCACCTCCCGATCTAAATCTGGATGGCAAAGGAAAAATGGAAGTACACACAAGTAGTCTTTGCCTTACCTGCCTTCTGAATAGTGACACACCTTATGGGGAACCCCCCCCACACCCCAAATCAGGCAGTCCGCGCTTTAGGTCTCAAGCGAGACTGCAGAATGGATCAGGAGCTGACTTCCCCTCCTAATCTAGAACAGGCCTCTCCAACCTTGGCCACTTGTAAGACTCGGGGACTTCAACTCCCAGAATTCCCCAGCCAGCCAGCATGGCTGGCTGGGGAATTCTGGGAGTTGAAGTCCACGAGTCTTACACGTGGCCAATTTGGGAGACCCCCTGATCTAAACCCACAACAGAACCGAGGCGTAAGAGCCGTTTCCTGGGGGTGGAGATGGGTGTGGTGGTGGGGGGGGGCAAACCCCACATCTCCCCCACGCGAGGCTGCGGGGCCACAAGCCCAGGGACGCAACCGCAGCGTTTGACGAGGTCAAGGGTCGCAGAGGAGGGCGCCGAGGGAGGCACTCACCACAGGAGAGGATGAAATTGGGGGAGGTCAACATGATGAAGGGGAAGGTCTGCAGCAATCCGAAGTAGACCAGGTTGGTGAAGAGACCCACGCCCACCAGGAGACCCGGGAAGCGCTCGAAGAGATACAGGCCGACCAGCACAGCCGTGGAGAACTAGGAGACAAAAGCAGGTCACGGCAGACTCGTTTCTTGTTGTTAAGACATTTCAATCAGGATAGGAGCGGGAAGGGACCTTGGAGGTCTTCTAGTCCGACCCCCTGCTCAAGCAGGAGGCCCTATCCCAGAGAAATAGCGGTTCAATCTCTGCTGAAAAAGCTCCAGTGATGGAGCACCCACAACGTCTGGTGGCAAGCTGTTCCACTGGTTAATTGTCCTCACTGTCAGGATGTTTCTCCTTAATTCCAGGTTGCTTCTCTCCTTGATGAGTTTCCATCCGTTGCTGCTTCTTGTCCTGCCTTCAGGCGCTTTGGAGAATAGCTTGACCGCCTCTCCTTTGGGGCAGCCCCTCAAATACTGCCGTTGTTCAGTGAGCAACGCGGTCGTTAAGCGAATAAGGCTTCCCCCATTTGACTTTGCTTGTCAAGACGGTCGCAAAAGGGGATCACGGGACCCACCCACCCCCGGGACGCTGCGACCGTCGTGAATGTGAAGTCAGTTGCCGAGCGTCCGAATTTTGACGCTGCAACGGTCGTCAGGGTGAAAATATGTCCTAAGTCGCCTTTTTTCAGCGTTGTCGTAACCTTGAATTGTCACTAAGTGAACAGCTGTAAGCTGAGAACTACTTGTAAATGTTTTCCCCTGGAAAGGGGAGAGAGGGCCAGCGAAGGCAGCTCAGAAAGTGGGTGTGCTCTCCCAGGTTTGGAAGCCCAGCTGAGCTTCAAAGAGGCTTCCCAGTCATCCCCCCCCAGCTCCCCATTTCCTGCTCCCTCCGAGCCCAGGCCAGAGAGACCCCCCAAAAACCCAGGTGGAAGGCAGGTCGATGCTTACCCAGATCATGTATTTGATGATCCGGCTTGTGGCCACTGTGTATTCTTCTATCAGCTCCGCCAGGTAGTACAATCCAGCCGCTGGGAGGGAGGGAGGGAGGGAAACAGCCAAGCATTAGGCCACACTGCCTACCCACAATCAGTGCAGCCGCTGCCCCTGCAGGGGAGGCAAAGGTCCAACTTCTCCCACACACCCACACGGCTGAACGGGTGGAGCATCCTCAGATAGGGGCAATCTGCCCCTCCGAGCTTCATCCTCAGCCACAGAGCAAGAGGCAGGAGCGAATGGAGACAGTCAGGGCCCTGCCTCTCCCCAGTCACGACAACCACGCAATTGCTATTAGGGTTAGATTTGTTTTCCCATTCAGATATCGGCAGTCGATCGATGAAAAGGGAGAGGCAGAGAGAGAGAGAGTGAGAGGATAGATTAGATTGATCGAGATAGATGGATGGACAGATAGATAAGTGGTGCTCAAGCTATGCTGGGCATACATACATACATACATACATACATTCATACATACATTCATACATACCGGTATATATACATACATACATATATACGTATGTATATATGTATGTATATAGATGTGTGTGTATACAGAAAGTTTTTTCCGGACAGAAAGCTGAAACCGAAGCAAAGTGAAGAATCACTCAGAGCCCTGAAACAGCTTCCTGATTAGATAAGCCTGAGATTTATAGAACTAAGGGAGAGGAGTGGTTGAGAGAGGGGGGGAGGGAGGGAGAGAAAGAGAGAGGGAGGGAGGGAGAGGGAGGGAGAGAGTCACATAGATGATAGATTAATAGAGAGAAGACTGATTAAATAGAGAGAAGGAAAGAGAAAGAGGCAGAGTAAAGTTCTACTATTACATAACTATAGGTCTGTATCTATAACATTACAAAGAATTACACGCACGTGGAAAAAATTCTTGTAACTTTAAATGTTCTTACACTTGTAATTTTTTAATATATTTTTTGTATTTCTATTGTAAGCCGGCCAGGATCTCTCTGGAGAGCGAGATGGGCAGCATTTAAATTTAACAAATAAATAAGGATACGTGTATGTGTGAGAGAAAGAGTGGGGGGTGGAGAAAGGAAGGAAGGAATCAAAGAAATAGGAAGGGAGGGAGGGATAGAAGGAAGGAAGGCATAGGGAAGGAATGAAAGAATAGAAGAGGAAGGAAGGAAGGAAGGAAGGAAGGAAGGAAGGAAGGAAGGAAGGAAAAAGGACGAAGGAAGGAAGGCATAGGGAAGGAAGGAGGGAAGGAATGAAAGAATAGAAGAGGAAGGAAGGAAGGAAGGAAGGAAGGAAGGAAAAAGGACTAGGGAAGGAAGGAGGGAAGGAATGAAAGAATAGAAGAGAAAGGAAGAAAGGAAGGAAACTGGAGGAAGGATGGAAGGAGGTGAGGAAAGGAGGAGGGATGAAAGAAGGAAAAGGGAGAGAAGGAAGGAAATTGGAGGGAATCAAAGAAATTGGAAGCAACCGGGGGGGGGGGAGGAGAAGAGAGAGAGAGAGAGAGAGAAAGAAAGGAAGAAGAAAGAGAAAGAGAGAGAAAAGCCAATCCTCCTGCCTCCTCTCCCCTTTCCAACAACGACCCTGCGAGGTAGGCCGGCCTGCCTTCTCTGCCCGGGCACAGCCGCCCCCCAAGCCCGGCCGGGTCCATTGAGCGCTGCCCCCTCCCCCCACGAACCAGCCCGGGGGCGGGGGGAGGTAGACTGCTCCTGGACGGGGAGGCTCCACGGCGGGCGGGCGGGCGGGGGGGCGGGGCCGCCGCGCTCCCGGGCCTCCCGGGCCTCCGCTCACCGATGCCGAGGGTGACGAAGGCGGCCTGGACGAGGAGCGCGACCCAGCTCAGCGCGTACATGAACCACATCGTCGCCCGCGCCCCGCGCCTCGCCCGGCGCTGGCTGGCCGCGATGGCTCCGCCCGGCACTTCCGGGACGGGCGGAAGTGGTTGGAGGGCCGACGCCGCTGCCGACGCCCCCCCTTGTCCCCCACAGCGGCCCCAGGCGGCCGGAGGCGGCGTGGCAGGGCGGCGCTCGCCTCGTTCTCCCAGCCGGGCGCCCGCGGGCGTCCTCGGGAACAGCGCCTCCCCTGCCTACACAAGCAAGCGATCCGGGGCAGGGAGGGGGCCTCGCGGAGCAGCGGTGGAGAACGGTGGCCCCTGAATGATTGCTGGACTCCAACTCCCAGAATTCCAGAGCAGCATGGGAAACGATGGTGCTTGGAGGACTGCTGGACTCCAACTCCCAGAATTCCCGAGCAGCATGGGGAATGATGGCCCTTGGAGGACTGGTGGACTCCCACTCCCAGAATTCCCAAGCCACCATGGGGAACGATGGCCCTTGGGTGACTGGTGGACTCCGACTCCCAGAATTCCCAAGCCAGCATGGGGAACGATGGCTCTTGGGTGACTGCTGGACTCCAACTCCCAGAATTCCCGAGCAGCATGGGGAATGATGGCCCTTGGAGGACTGGTGGACTCCCACTCCCAGAATTCCCAAGCCACCATGGGGAACGATGGCCCTTGGGTGACTGCTGGACTCCAACTCCCAGAATTCCCAGCAGCATGGGGAACGATGGCTCTTGGGTGACTGGTGGACTCCAACTCCCAGAATTCCTGAGCAGCATGGGGAGCAATGGGGCTTGGATGACTCCTGCTTGAGCATGGCTGGCTGAAGAATTCTGGGAGTTGAAGTCCACCAGTCATCCAAGCGCCATCAGTCCCCATCTCTTTCTTAAAAGTTCATGGAACCACTTTCATTCAGGGAGAAAAATCCAGAATCAGTTGCAAGTTGTGTGTGTGTGTGTGTGTGTGTGTGTGTGTGTGTGTGTGTGTGTTTTTCCAGAACCACCAGGAGAGATTCAGCCCTTGCATGTCTGTCTGTCTGTCTGTCTGTCTGTCTGTCTGTCTGTCTGTCTGTCTATCTGTCTATCTATCTATCTATCTATCTATCTATCTATCTCAGTGGTTCTCAACCTGTGGGTCGGGACCCCATTTGGGGTCGATCGACCATTTCACGGGGGTCGCCAAGCAAGGCTGTCCGCCATTTTTTTTTGTCCGCCATTTTTTTCCCCTTTTCTGGCGGGTGCCTTGGGCTGGGCCAGCTGGTGGTCGGCCTGCTCCATCTCTGCCGCTTGCCAGCTACGCCTCGGCCGGTGCAGGGGGCGGAACCACGCATGCGCGGCGCTCCCGGGCAGGGAAAGTCCTCGACTTACAACCGGTTGGGTAGTCCTCGACTTACGACCGGTTTAGTCCTCGACTTACGACCGGTTTAGTCCTCGACTTACGACCGGTTTAGTCCTCGACTTACGGTTGGGGTCACGGCATTAAAAAGGTTGAGAACCACTGATCTATCTATCTATCTATCTATCTATCTATCTATCTATCTATCTATCTATCTATCTATCTATCTATCATCGGTTGAGGTAGCTGCCTGTCACCAAAATTGATTCCAGCTAGTGCACAACAATCAAATAAACACATTTATACAAACTACCATGGTAAAGAAAAAGGGATAAAAACAATTGTTATAAAAACATGGACAATCATTATTAAATGTTAAAATATTTTATTTATTGTACTTATTACATTGGTTTGCTGCCTGTTTCATCAAAAGGCTGCCTCGGGGTGGATTATAACATTGAAACGAAGCCATAAATATTCCAGTAGAGAGAGACAATTCCCTGATGGGGCGCCAGCACAAATCCGTAAACTCAGAAGATTAAAATCTGCCATCCCGGTGTCCGACCCAGATTAGCTTTTGCAACATTATCCTGGGACAAGTCAATTCGCCATCCTTTGTGAAACCATAAACGTATGAAAAAAATGTATAAAGTCACATTAAAACTGCAATAAAATAAGAGTTATTGCCAAAGACGGGGAGGGAGGAAAGAGAATATACAGGAGGGGAGGTGGGAACTGCTATTAGTTGATCAATTGCCTCCGGTGTGATGCTCCGTCACTCGGGCCCCAAGCCAACTGGCCGAAGAACCAGGTCTTCAGGCTCTTGTGGAAGATCAGAAGGGTGGGAGAGATCTCACCTGGGGGGGGAGATAAGATGTTCCAGAGGGTATAAGGCTTGGCAGCAGAAGGCCCTTCTCCTGGACCCCTCCAGCTGGAATTCCTTGATTGACGGGGCCCGCAGCATCCCTCATCTTCTACCTGCAGAGGTGGGGCGGGCCGATCCCAGTGGGATGAGACCCATGCCAGGCAAGGCTTCCAAGGTGATAACCACCACCTTGGAATATTGCATCCAGTTTTGATTGCCACGATATCAAAAAGACGTTGAAGCTCTTGAAAGAGAGCAGAGGAGAGCAACAAAGATGATTAGGAGACTGGAGGCCAAAACATATGAAGAGCGGTTGCTGGAATTGGGTAGGTCTAGTTTAATGAAGAGAAGGATGAGGGGGGACATGATAGCCGTGCTCCAATAACTGAGGGGCTGCCACAAAGAAGAGGAGGGGGTCAAGCTATTCTCCAAAGCACCTGAAGGCAGGACAAGAAGCAAGGATGGAAACTGATCAAGGAGAGAAGCAACCTGGAACTAAGGAGAAACTTCCCTAACAATGAGAACAATTAATCAGTGGAACAGCTCGCCTCCAGAAATCCTGGGCGCTCCATCACTGGAGATTTTTAAGAAGAGACTAGACAGCCACTTGTCCGAAAAGGTATAAGTTCTCCTGCTTGAGCAGGGGGTTGGACTAGATGACCTCCAAGGTCCCTTCTGACTGTGTTATTCTGCCATATCTCAAGGTGAAAGAGGCATGTGAGCAGGGTGGAGAAAAACCAGAAGGTGCCTCCAGAGGTTGTGTGGGTGCTCCATCCCTGGAGATTTTGAAGAAGAGACTGGACAGCCACTTGTCTGACGTGGTGGAGGGTCTCCTGCTTGAACAGGGGGTTGGACTAGATGACCTCCAAGGTCCCTTCCAATTCCATTATTGGGTTAATAACTTGAACTGCACCTGGAAGCAAACAAGCAACCATTGCATCTTGTGGAACCGCGCTGTGCCATGGGTCACTCCAAGGGGGTTTGGTTCTATGTGTCCCTTGGAAGGACTGACCGCCTTGGGCTGCAGGAAGGGGTTCAGCCTTGGTGGGGCAGCCCAGAGGCAAGAGGGGGGGCTGGAGAAAGAGGTTGCAACTGAAGCCCCTCGTGGGTGGGTGAGTGGGTGGGGAAAAGCCCGGGCGAGGATTGTCGCAATGACGCTCTCGTGCACTAATGGAGTCTGGCACTTCCCGCACAGAGGCTGGCCTGACGCTGCTGCTCGCTGACCGTACGCTGACCCTGCGGACATTGCACCTTGTCCCCGGCCCTGTGGGCAGCTGTGGGGCATCGGAAGAAGCAGCCGATGCCAAGCCAGGAGACACATCCGAAGCATCAGCCAGGCGCCTCCCTCTCTATGCGCGCTGATGGCGGCCTGACCTTCAGGCTGTGGGCGGAGGGAGCCACAAGGGCACGCCCATTGCAGCCTGTGGCACACCGCCAGGGGCACGTAGGTGGCAAGAAAAGCGCATTTGTACCCCGGACTTTGGAGAATTCACCTGTGCCTGGAGGTTTGTTTTGGAGAAGGATGCCAATCACCCTCTTTGAGGGCACATTTGCTCCCGCAGCCACCCTGAGCTACCTCTTCTCTGCCCTCAGCTCTGGGCAGTCCTCGCTTCAGAATGACAAGAGCTGGAAGGGACCTGGGAGGCCTTCTAGTCCAGCCCCCTGCTCAAGCAGGAGACCTGACACCCTTTCAAGCAAGTGACTGTCCAGTCTCTTCTTAAAAACCTCCAGAGATGGAGCACCCATGATTTCTGGTGGCAAGCTGTTCCACTGGTTAATTGTCCTCACTGTTAGGAAGTTTCCCCTTAGTTCTAGGTTGCTTCTCTCCTTATTTTTCCATCCATTGTTTCTTGTCCGGCCTTCAGGTGCTTTGGACAATGAGTTTAGAATAGAATAGAATAGAATAGAATAGAATAGAATAGAATAGAATAGAATTTAGAATAGAATAGAATAGAAATATAGAATAGAATGGAATAGAATAGAATAGAATAGAATAGAATAGAATAAGGAAATAAGAATATGCAGAATAGAATAGAATAGAATTTAGAATAGAATAGAATAGAATAGAATTTAGAATAGAATAGAATAGAATAGAATAGAATAGAATAGAATAGAATAGAATAGAATAGAATAGAGCTGGAAGGGACCTTGGAGGTCTTCTAGTCCAGGCCCCCACTTGAGCAGGAGAACCTATCCCATCTCAGACAAGTGTCTACCCTCTTAAAAATCTCCAGTGATGGAGCGCCCATGATTTCTGGAGGCCAGCTGTTCCACTGGTTAATTGTCCTCACTGTTAGGAAATTTCTCCTTAATTCCAGGTTGCTTCTCTCTTTGGTCAGTTTCCATCCATTGCTTCTTGTCCTGTCCTTTGGAGAATAGTTTGACCCCCTCTTCTTAGTGGTAGCTCCTCAGATACTGAAACACTGCTATCATGTCTCCTTTATTTTTTCTTTTCTTTAGACTAGCCAAACCCAGGTCCCGCAGCCATTCTTCGTATATTTTAGCCTCCAGGCCTTGGATCATCTTAGTTGCTCTTCTCTAGATTTTTTCCAAACTCTCCACATCTTTTTTGTGATATGGTGACCAAAATTGGCTGCAGTATTCCAGGTGTGGCCTCACTAGGGTTTTATAAAGCAGTACTAATACTTCAGGTGATCTTGATTCTATGCCTCTGTTTATACAAGCCAGGATTGTATTAGCTTTTTTTGGCTGCGGCTGCACACGGCTGGCTCAGGGTCAAGTGACCGTCCACTAGGACTCCAAGGTCCCTCTCACAGTCGCTGTTTTTAAGCCTCACCCAGTCTGTCAAACCTTTGATTTTTCCTGTCT